CATCTTACATATGGTCAAGATACAATGTATGATAAAAATTTATCTATTTACAGCTAAAATATATATAAATACGATCGATGTGGTCGAAGAATTTCTTGTTATTCAAAGACAGTACATCGTCGATTTATCTAAATGTGAAATTGAAGGATCTTGCTAGATTTTTGCGGGCAGTCCTGATAAGCTCGTCATATGAAAAACAAAAACAAATCGCCCGGAAGAGGGACGCAGTTTAATTGTTCCGTGACACGTCAGCTTAACTTTTACAACGGAAAACCACAGCACGCAAACAAATGTATTAAAACAATGTAGTTCAGTGGCACCTTTATTGATAATTATGTACGCTGTATTGTGATACTCTTCGGGGTCGAGCTTAGTGTCGATGAAGACTTAGTATAGACACATCGTTCCTCTGCATAGAACAGGTGCATCAGTCGACACGTATTAAACTGACAGTTGACTGTTTAGAATAAAAACAATGTGACTAATTACAATAACAAAGGGAGAGGTTGAGGTAAATACTCCTATTGGGCATCATATACACACCTTCCAGTGTAGCGCCATTAATATAGTATAGATAAAGGCCTCTTATACTGTGGTGACGTGTGTATCGAGTTGGCAATACTCGCCTTACTTATATATATGTAGACGTCAGATCTTTTTGACAAATGATAGTGAACCACGAACGTTCACCTATCGGCTCCCACTGGTGTACACGTATACTATACATGTATATACCTTGGGGCTAAGAGTTTGAAAACAAAATGACTAAATATATGGGCATGTTTTAGGGACTTCACAAGATAAATAATTTTTAACTACTCGACAGATCGCCATTTACAACATCATGTATATACGTTGATACCGCGAATGGGCAAAACGTCATGTGTCTACGTGGAACCAGCGCCTACAGTAAACACATTGAACTAATATAAATAATTGTCAAAATGTAATTAAGCTGCGATGCTCGTCAAACAGAGCCACGTTGACTTGTAGCCTGTAAGCTCATTGGTCTACAGGTTGTTAAACCTTTAGGCAGGCAAACTGTAAATCCCACAGGCTGTGTTCCACCAGCTGTGAACTGGTACCGCATTTTACAGGGTCGGATGTTGTCAGCTTTGTAAGGAATTGAAATCAAAAAGGTTTAAGTTGGATATTTCTCCGTCAAAAACTGTTCAAAGTACGTTCGTTTTACATATTTGTATATTTATTATGCAATGTTTAGGTTAGCAGCTTTACTGAAACTTTTTATTTTACTGTCGATGATTCAAAACCAAATTTAGCCAAAGAGCTGGCTAATCTCCACAGGGTCCTCGATACACTTTAGATACACAATTTTGAAGCTTATACCAGAAGAAATTGTTTACATCAATATTATTGATACACAAATGAAAATATTGCACATTACCATATTTCAGAGAATTATATCTTAGAAGTCTATGAATAACCTAATTTTTGATAACCGAAAATAATACATTCTTACACCGAATGTAGAACCCTGGGCCCATTTTCAAGAAACAGTTCTCATGCTCAAACTCAGATTTTTGCTCGAGCGCAATTTCTTGTCCCCGAGATGAATAAATGATAAAATCACATTTTGTCAATGTAAATGGAAGCGTTTTGGAAAGACGATACAAGCTGAATATTTAGAATACTATTTTTCAATGTTTACATTTGGGTTTTTACGGTGCAATATAGGCCTAATTTTAACGTGTCACATAAACGTAACGTAGCTTGAGCACAGAGTCTATGCTTGAGCATGAAAACGGTTTCAGGAATATGGGTTTTAACCGATATCCACTAGATTAAGTCCAATACACGTCTAGTAAAACCAAAGCTAGCCCTTTAAAGTCAAGAGATATTCAATAGTTATTTTAACCTCTAATCCCCTACTGTGACAGTCATATAACACGTTGTATGAAGCCGAGTAAATCGATTTACAAGTCACGGATGATAATGGTACTGTAACAGGTGCAAACGTCTATAGCAGGTGTAAGGTTATGTTTAACTTACATGTGTAGCTGATATATATATATTAGTATTATAAACTAATACTAATAAATTAATCATATTTTAAGTAAAAATGTCAAAAAGAATCCCGGATGTATTTTAATAGATATTTTGGAACTTTTTGAAATATCGGGAAGGTATGTACATGGCTTTGCGGCACGTGCTCTACACAAGTAGACTAACCAGGCAACAACTAAAATAATTAACGTGGGCCCCTAGTTGAGTGACACGTGTGTGAACAGGATCGTTTGATTCATTATCTAAAAACACATATCATTTAAATTCATGCTCGAATCCAATTTACACTTATAAGCTATAAATGGAACGTTAAGTACCATCAATCAATCATTTACACTGAGGGGTATTACTGAAACGTTAAGAACCATAAATAAATCAATCGTTTACACTGAGAGGTTATAACTGGAACGCTAAGAACCATCAATAAATCAATCGTTTACACTGAGAGGTTATAACTGGAACGCTAAGAACCATCAATAAATCAATCGTTTACACTGAGAGGTTATAACTGGAACGCTAAGAACCATCAATAAATCAATCGTTTACACTGAGAGGTTATAACTGGAACGCTAAGAACCATCAATAAATCAATCGTTTACACTGAGAGGTTATAACTGGAACGCTAAGAACCATCAATAAATCAATCGTTTACACTGAGAGGTTATAACTGGAACGCTAAGAACCATCAATAAATCAATCGTTTACACTGAGAGGTTATAACTGGAACGCTAAGAACCATCAATAAATCAATCGTTTACACTGAGGTAGCAGTGTACAGTAGCGTACGATGGCCACGGGTGATATTTCTATACAAAGAATAACCCCTGTAATATAACATGTATCAAAATTTAAAAAAAATCAGCACTAAAATTGGCATATAGATGATGAAGTGGACAATGTGGGCTTCATAATTTAAAAAAAATCGAATTTGGTTTGCGACTGCAGTTTTGGGCATTTACAAATCTGTGTCTACACAACAAAAGCTAGCTTTTCATGTAGTTTATATCGTGAAATATCCACCGGAATGACCTATGCTAAAACGTGAGTATTTCTGTTACCGAGTAGGCGATATTTAATTTCAGACGGGTTTTAAGAAAAACAATTCTGCTTGCGGGGGTCAAATTTTTGGTTAAAAATCATGTTTTTTTTTGCATATTTTGGTGTTTTTTGATGTGGTGACCATGGTTTTCACAAGTCCTAAATCTGGAAAACAGTTTTTGAAAAAAACTTCAGTCTTCTAAACAAAATGAAATCAAAATGTAGTTTATAAATGTATATATATGTAGGTGTGCTGTGCAGGTTGAATTCACTATCCATGTTTATGTGAAACATGCCCTTTATATTGAGGGTCAAGCCATTTCTTCTGTACATTGCTACCCGAGAGGTTATAACTGGAACGCTACAAATCATCAATTATAACTCGACGCTAAGAACCACCAAACCATCATTTTGTACAGAGAGGTTATAACTGAACGCTAAGAACTGTCAGTCAATCAACCATTTACACTGAGATTTTGACAAATTTGACAAATGATAATGAAATATCATTTTAATCATGCTAAACTGCTGGGTAGTATCATATACACTGCATGTGATTGACGGGCCACCTGTCGATGATGACATATAAATAAAACGAGTCAATCAAATGGCGTGTCTAAAACGCCGGGTCATGACTTCTCCGTGGTCAGCTAGATCAGTTACTGGAAAAACAGGTTTACGTAAGGACAAGTACCCTACATTTGATGGACGGGTCACTTGTGGATAATGACATCAAAATAAAACGAGTTAATCAAATGGCGTGTCTAAAACGCCATGCCACGCGCCATTGACTATACTATATGGTCAGGTCAGTTACTGGGAAACAGGTTTTAGACACACACATGAATAGAAGTGCAATTACATACTACTTTAAATTTATTTTAATGGCTAAAGTTAATTACTGTTTTATAAAATTATTAAGTAAAAGTGTGAATCTAGATTTATTTTATCATTTTAAGTGGGGTGGGGGCTGCTTTTATTCTTTGGATCATTTGCTTTTCTTGCTCATAACCTATATTGATAGTTCTTTTCCATCTATCAAATAAAACAATATTTCTGATAATTCTTTCTTTCGTGATAATGAGGAAATAATTTTACTTGTCTCACAGTATTACGTCCTCAAATGACCGAATCCGTTAATAGGGCGTTAAACAAAATTAAATCAAACCAATATCACGGTGTTTTTTTTACACTCTTTTACACTTTCCCAACCCTGGCAGCCCCTATCAAAATATTTATATATGTATTTATATATCTATGCTTGCAAGAAGTAGATATATATACACACATTTTTATGACTGGGGAAATAAAATATTTGAAAAAGCCCACTTTTTTACACAGTTCATATGCGTAACTTGTTATGGTTCTAAATCCTAGAGCTAGGTATCCATTAAAAGATGTTTTTAACCAGGGCATTAGGTAGGCCTATTTTTTAACTGATAATTATATATGTTTCGCTCTCCTCATTTACATTCAGTTATCACTGTTAATCATTAAAACTAGAAATATAAGCCTACTTGTGACAGACATTCTGCTGCAGGTTCCGAAAGATAATTTTCCGAAAAAAAAATCTATGACACAAAAAAGTTATGTGTTAAATCTCATTCAAGTCTTCTTTGTCAAAAACTAAGTTTTAGAAAATAACGGCTTGTACAGAAACAGAGACGAACGCTCTAACAGTTAGGCCGGCATAATTAGTAACCTACTTTACCTCAGACATCATTAATAGAATGGTGCTTCGGGGCTTAAACACATAAATTATTTATTTTTTGCCTTTTTGACATCTTTTGCCTTAGGTGTATTGAAATATAATACTAGATTTATATATGTAATATCCGTAAGAAAAGTATTTTTGGATCCCGGGAAAATTTGACAAATCACATGATTTCATTTTCAGCCAATCACATTACAACACGCCGTAAGTCCGTCTTTATACTGGCATGCGCACACATAACCGGCCTCTATTGCCACGTTTACCCACTGACAGAAGACCTATTGCAGGATCTCTCCCCGAAAACTGGGTGACTTTTCATCATGTTTTTCAAAATTTTATCATTGTGTTTGTTAAGTTCTTTAGTGTTAGCAGTTGAGATAAAAGAAGATGGTGGAGTGCTCGTATTAACAACGGAAAACTTTGATCAAGCTATCGCAGATAACGAACATATTCTTGTTGAATTCTGTAAGTATACAAAGTAATTTATCCGGTGATAGTTTTACTACCGACATATGCTAACTGTTTTGATTTTGATGCATCTGCGATCAATGTTTTATTAATTATATAACTAAATGAGAACTTGCTATTGCTTATTGAAAATGAACCGCTACGCGTTATGCATATGATTGTTGATTTTGTTCGTCTGCTAGGAACGGTTGAACACACACGTCCACATTTTCACTTGTATGCAAAAACAATTAGTATTACGTTTATTACTGATCATGTGTAACGTATGTGTGTTTGTCCAATAATCTTATTCAGAAATGATCATGTCGCTTTTTTTTTGGCAAGAGTAGTCATATTCAATGATATTGTGAACTGTATTGGAAGTTTTTTGACACGTGTGTAGTTTATATTGATAATAACTTTGTTCTTGGATAGTTTTAATTTAGCAGTCATGATTGTCGAGCAGTTCATTACTGTAACATTATGTTTCGTTACCCCTTCCCCAACCTCACTTCATTCAAGGTGACTGTTTGGATATAGCCTTGTATTATTTAGACAAAGTGTAGAGATCATGAGGAGTATTTATAGAAACATGGGCGGATGAAATCCCATATGTGGAAACGTAATATTACTGGTTTTGTCTGCAAGTCTAGTAGAGTATCATATATGAATATAAGTTTATACTGCAAGTAACACACAAAGAATATTGATAACCATTTCCAGGTTTTGGTATTGAGATAGCACTTATAAGAATGGCTCCAGACAATAGTTAACATCAATAACATGCAACCTTATTTGGTTTCGTAGACATCAACACGCAATCAATCAATGGTCAGATGCCATATCAATGGTCAGATGACAGCATAATTGGACATGTATGATCACAGAAAATACCTTACATGAATGTCTTACCAATACCTTTTGTCTTTAACAGATGCACCTTGGTGTGGTCACTGCAAAGCTTTGGAACCAGAATTTGTTAAAGCTGCTACAGCTTTGAAGGACTCTGAGTCATCCATCAAACTTGGCAAAGTTGACGCCACTATTGAAAGCAGCTTAGGAGAGAAATTTGGAGTTAAAGGTTATCCAACATTGAAGTTTTTCTCAGGTGGTCAACCCAGTGAATACCAAGGTAATTGTATTTGTAGACTAACAAGAGAAGTCCATATGAAGTTTCCCCATAACAGAAAAGAGCATAGAAATGTTAACAACATGCGTCCTGGGAGAAAAATAAAATGATTGATATAACTGACTTTGTTTGCCAGGATGTAAAAGTCTACTTGCCCAACGTCAAGGCAAAAACGTCAATGCTGACAAGTGCAATATTTTCCACATTTGCGTGTTAGTAATGAAGGTTTAAAAGACTAATGTCAATGCTCAATTGTCAATTCTAGTCATTTAAAGTGGAGGAATAAAATTCCAGTTTGAGAAAGAAATTGTTTGCCACATGTCTTGGTACATAACTTGTAAATGTTTTAAAAGATTGACCTATAATACATAAAAGTTGACATTTTTTTTATATCAAAGAATTTTACACAAAATGAAGCTTTCAAAGTATCTTCAAAATATATATTAACTTAACCACTGAAGTTTTGATTGCATTCTAAATATATCTTGTATAGGTGGCAGACAGGCCCCAGAAATTGTTAACTGGTTGAAAAAGAAGACTGGTCCACCATGTACAACCCTTGATGATGTTGCTGCTGCTAAGAAATTTGCTGAATCTGATGATGTAGTTGTTATTGGATTCTTCAAGGTAAACATCTTAGATAATCTTTGAAATACATCTGTACTAAGGTTATTGTATGACTCTTGCTTTCATACACAGTATTATCTAGAGGCATTGCCCAGGGGTTGAAGCCAGAGGGTGACATCGGGTAAAGAGTTGATAAAGGTTGTGATACTTAAATAGTAGGGCTTGAATGGGTAACCGAGTACCCTGTTGCAGTTCGGTTACAAGTACTACCCAGTAAGCAAATATGTAGGTATCCAAAAACCGTCCCAAAATGTAGGTCATACAAATTTATTGATAATGTTGCTCCTAACTGCTGTTTGACAGATCTCAAAAAAAAATGTGATCAGTATACTTACTTCACCATTGAGTGCATGTATACAACAGACTACCAAAATTTACCATGCTGGAGGCTAGCGATATGTAGCCAATTTATTAAGATTGGGAGAATTTGCAATGTTTACAACAGTATTTACAACGAAAAGGTATTGTGTTTAATTAAGAAGTCATATTTTTTATCAAAATATAGGGCCATTGGTGGCTGTATTTCATGACACAAAAAACACAGTTACCTGTTTTCGTTTCGGATAAGCACACATTGTATAGTCTATACATTTAGCACTTTTTTTTAGGATCTGGAATCTGCTGAAGCCAAGGCCTATGAAAAAGCAGCCAAGGGTATTGATGATGTTCCTCTTGGAATCACGTCCAATGCTGATGTCTTCGCTGAATACAAGAAGGAAAGTGATGGAGTTGTCTTACTTAAGAAGGTAATGGAACAATATTCTGTGAATCACTTCACTTTGGTGTAATAAACACTTCTGGTGAATTATATATGTACTTGCAGGTTAATTTCAGGAATATTTGAATTGCTGATTGCATTTTCAAACCAATAATGAAGATAATCTGTTCAGTTAATATTTCTTGAAGATTTAAATTTCCAATTGTGGTCCTTGCAAATTAATGCAAAAAAACCAATTTACAGCGTGTAGTGGTAAACTGATTCTGCTTCCAAATGTATATTTGTTCACATTACAAATCTGTTTCAAGTCTTATCACTCATCTGTTAAGTTAGGATACAGTTGATTACAAGAAGTTTTGTCATTGTTTAAGTTTTGCACTATTTGCCTTTCAGTTTGATGAAGGTCGGAATGACCTTGAAGGGGAAGTTACTGTTGAAGCAGTCAAAACATTTGTTAGTGGCAACCGTCTCCCATTGGTTGTGGAATTCACACAGGAGGTATTTATTTGGTTTGATTGACCTCTTGTAGCATATGAAAGTATGGCCCTTGCATGTTTGCAAATAAGATTGGCAATTATGAAAAAGATGCATGCATTCATTTCGAAATTACATATAAATTACAAAAAAATGTCTATAAATTGGAATAACTCTCTCGGTTCAATGTGGATCATATTCTCAGCATGTTGCATTTACCATTTATAAAATAAGCATGGTGTTTTGGGTCAATTTGTTTTGAAGGATATGATACAGCAAGTTACTATAATTATAATCAAATTTTCTATTTTTACTTGTTGTTGATATTGTTGTGTTTTGGTATTCTGGTTTTCTACTTTCCTGTTGATATATTTTTACAGAGCGCACAAAAAATATTTGGAGGAGAAATCAAGAATCACATTCTTCTGTTTATCAAAAAATCTGCAGACAATTTTAAGGACACAATGGATGGGTTCAAAGCATCTGCAAAGGGATTCAAAGGAAAGGTGAGGCAGCAGATCATTATAGATTTAAATATCCAAGTCGCAAACAAAAGTTTGTGTAGAAAAGCTGTTAAAAACACATTAAATTTATCAACTGCATTAATTTAAATCCTAGAATACTAGGAAATCATTTTTTTATGTGCAGGTAAAAAAATGAATGTACAATGATGGGGGATGCATATCAACATGAGTATGTTAGTTGCCGTTCACTAAGTGTTTGTGTTATCACATGGTTGTAGGTACTTTTCATCTACCTTGATATCGGAGATGAAGAAAACAGTAGAATCCTTGAATTCTTTGGACTGAAGCCTGAAGAATGCCCATCTGTTCGTCTTATCAACCTTGGAGAAGACATGAGCAAATTTAAGCCAGAAAGTGATGATCTTGGCACAGAAGCAATCACTAAATTTGTACAGTCATTTTTGGACGGTACTCTGAAACCCCATCTTATGTCTGAGGATGTGCCCAGTGACTGGGATAAGGAAGAAGTTAAAGTCCTTGTAGGAAAGAATTTTGATGAAGTAGCCCGAGACAAATCCAAGGATGTATTTGTTGAGTTTTGTAAGTGTTAATTTCAATCAATATGACATGGCACTAGAACGTTTTAATATAAAAATAACCTTTTCTGTGAAATGTTTCTTATACAACTATACCATCTCAGTTATTCTTGTGTTATGGTAAATACTTGATGATTTTTATACATGATCAGTGTATTTTTGTGCAGGTAGGTGAATTTTGAATAGTAATTAAAAATATAAAAGCCTGGTGACTTTATGATATGCGCTGTCTTGTTTTTCAATCCCCAGCTATCATTCCTCTGATTTACATGCTTCTTTATCTTCTGAATATTTAAATATTCTTTATAAAGCAGAATCTCATTATTTACTGGAAAATCTGTGCATGACCCATATTCTGTCTCATTTACAGACGCTCCTTGGTGCGGACATTGCAAGCAGCTGGTTCCCATTTGGAATGAACTCGGAGAAAAATTCAAGGATAATGCCGATGTTGTTGTAGCTAAGATGGATTCCACAGCAAACGAGATCTCTGATGTTAAAGTCCAGAGCTTCCCCACTCTTAAATACTTCCCTAAAAACAGTGAAGAGGTAAGTTTTGCGCTGTTGAAAGTTCAGAAACAAGAATTGTATTGAAACTTATATTTTTTCTTCAGTTAAAATCTACTGTTATTGTTTTGACACTATTTTGAAAATCTTGACTGTTTTGATAGAATCACCAATAACAAAACCTTATTTAATTAGGATTTAATAGATGTAAAATTTTCTCTTTACTGGAATTATTACCAAGCAAGATCAATTTGAAAGATATTGAGCAAGCTATAGCCTGACTGAAACAATTTATATGTTGATAGATAATTGACTACAATGGTGAAAGAACATTAGAAGCCCTGACCAAGTTTTTGGAGAGTGGTGGAAAGGAAGGCAATGGTGAAGCAGAAGATGCTGGAGACGATGATGAGGATGAGGAGGAGGAGGAGGAGGAAGAAGAGGATGATGCCGAAGTACCCAGGGACGAGTTGTAAATCATCATTTAAATACATTACATTAATGTCTTATGTGAAACCTCAATTTGTTTTCCATCATAAATATCCAGGTACCTTTAAATTATTATTTTTGTTGTAGGCACTTGGGTTGACATATTTTTACTAAGCCTCAATAAAGCTGATCATTAGTATCTCGACAGGGAGGGGGGGGTTACCAGGTGGGGAGAAATGGTATTCAAAGAAGAGGACGTTAACTATTATTTTACATGAAGATTTGTTACAATTTGTGGGGTTTTTTTCTTTTTAAAAAGAAGGTGAACAGAGTTATCTTCAGAAAGGGGAGAGATCACTCCAGTACTCTTCAATTTTTAATTGAAATCGTTTCTTTTCCATCTTCAATATGTGAAGTTGTAGGGGGAAAGGTTGAGTGTGTGTGAACGTGGATATGCATGTGTTATGAAAAGAGCAGCGAGATGTGTACAGTTTCAGACTATACAAAATTCCATTTGAGTGTTGAATACTAGTTTTGCATTGATTGTTTGTGATGAACTGATGGTGTGTGATGGTGCAAACTTACAAATGTGCTTTAAATTTAAACTTGTGCGAGACGTATGTTGCCAACAGACTTTCTTAGACCTCAAAATAACTACTAGATATATTTATGAACTTGGCAAGGATTAGTTATCTTGCTTTGTTGAGTGTATTAACAAAAGTAGCCATACACTTTTTTTATAAACAAGGTACTCAAACAAGAATGAAAAATAAAAGAAACATCTCGAACTGACGTTTTGTTCGTTTTTTATAAGTCTGACACAAATTTTGATGGGGCATTATATCGTAGGGTCCGGTCCGTCGTCAACACTTAGGTTTCAGCAAGAAAACTTGTGTATATCTTTTAAATTTTCATGAAACTTAGTATGCTTGTACATTATATGAAGGCTGAGGCAAAGTGTAAATATTGACGGTCTTGTCAAAATCCTGTCGAATTGTCAGCTGTATGCCAAAAAATTATGTGCAGGTTTTGCTCACCTTTGTCATTGTATAATATACATGTCGACCAATCCGAGCACAATTTGACAATTATGCAGATTTTGCTAAACTTTGAACTTGGTGTTTATAAATTAAATGTACATGTATATCAAGTTCCATCTTTGAGCAAGTTATATTGCGGAATTTAAAGTTTAGAAATTGACAAATGCGAGCACAGTATGCGAATTAATAATGTACCACTAATTAAGGAACAAAAAAACACCTTTGATTTAATTGTGGAAGATAAATCGATTATTTGCAAAAAAAGTCATATCAAGGAGGATTCCTATAAAAATATTTTTTCAAAGGTCAAAGAATAAATATGAAATATATAAAATCCTTCAGTGGATAAGTACCTTTCACTACATTCCAGATATAGTATATATCAACTCATTCATTACAAATATTGTTTCTTCTGATATTTTCATACTCGTAGATACAATGATGCATCAGAAAAATTTCAAGCATGTCGGATTGGCATGGGACGGGTATAATATTGTTCTGTCCTGTGAAACTCTTGTTTACATATCTGTGAACATGCACTGTTTGTGAGACACTACTGTGTTATTTAGCTTTTTTGGGATTCAATCATGGAAGTGAAGCCAAGATAGTTTCTATTGTTGCAATTGCTGGAAAATTTCTGTCGATTATGTTAGTTTGTACATTAAATACATAAGAAATTGTTGATGTACCATTCAAATTAAAAAATATGTTCAATTATATTATTTTTTTTTGAAATACCGGTATTTAAATTCAGTTTCTGAACAATACTTATGCTGACAATCTTCCTTTTTGAACCCCGAAAAATTGTTGGCAAACATTTACAATACGAAAATGTGTGAAACCGATAAAATGATAACTATATGAACAAGTTTTTAACCAAGAATCATGTCGGACGACCAGTTTACTGGTACACAGTTTTAAGTTCCACACATTGACAAACTGTACAACAACAGAAAAAGACGTACATTTTTAAATTTTTTATTTACAATATGTTCTCAAAGGTAACATTCAACAGCCTTTATAAAATTAAACTTAAACACAAAACATATATTGCACATGAACATTGGCTAGTGTCTACTATCTAATAACATATAGAGGGTTGAGAACCAGACCACAGTTGTTCTTTTATTAAATAAAGTCGGACCTAGTAATCTAATGCTGCTTTCAGGCAAGCCTTGCCAAAGCCTTACAAGGCCTGCATAAACATTTGTCCGAAATTGTTGCATTTAAAAACCGACGAACCGGTTCCGTTGTTCCGCATAAATAACAGTCCCTAAATTTCAAATGTACAGTTACATCATACTAAGGCGTGATATTGTATGCAGCAATATTGTACATCTAAAAACAATGCTTGAAATTCAAATTCTGTAGTCTTGAGTTAACGAGAGAACTTGATCAAGCTCACAAAGATATGCCCGACTGCATTTTATCTACATATTCACACTTTATTTGCAGGATAAGTTGGAGCAGAAATTTAAAGTTTCAAGGGAAATATCTACAGGAATCATGGGGCAAATTCTTTTCTTCATGCATATCTACATATGATGTACTTTCAATGCACCAAGTGACAAAAATAAAACGAAACTGCTTTAAAATTTCAAGGGCCATCACTCTTGAAAAGTAGTCAAATCGCAAATTTCTTTCTACATTCACTGAACAATAACGAGATTTACAATTGTTATCAAACTGGTAATACATGTACATGTATAGACCATATTACAGCAGAAATGCTTGGCATAAAGTGGACTTATTGTCATGATGGATAGTAGCATTCTTATCTTCAAATTCTCATTTTATATAAATGTGCATTATCAAATTCTTACGATATTCAATATAGAAACAAGGAAGATAGTTTCTGTACCAGTTTCCCAAACAATCCATTAAAAGGACATAATGTTGGTGTACCAGTTTTCCAAACAGTCCCATCAAAACTCGAATTGGTCAATGTCACCTGCCAGCATTCGATGCTTGACTAGACCTGACAACCACTGGGTTAGAGAGTCTGAAGATGGTTGTAAGCAGGTTACTAATGTTGGCAAACATTTCCTCGGACAACCCCTGTAAAATCAATGATGAGTAATTATGGAGTGGAATACAATGCAAGGGAGATAACCTTTTCAATTTTCTCCACCAAAAATGGCTGGATTCTACATCCAAAGGACAATTATAACATGAAATATTTTGCAGTTGTCCATTGAGAACAAAACCTTATATTTGATTACAAAAATTCTTATTTCTTATACAGGGTATGTAAAGAAGAGCAATACTATCAGAACTGCTAGGATGTACATACACAAGGGACAAGGAACTGGATAGTGCGAGAATTCTGCCCGCCATATGTGACCATCTCCATCATGAATCCCTTGACACACTTGAACATCAGCTCGGCTCGCCTCTGGCACCATTGTATCGTCATCTCCTATAAAACATAAAACACTTTTCCTTCAAGCAAAGTTTCAATAAAATCTGCCTGTAAGTAAAGACGGAGCTTTCCTGGACAACTCATTTCACATAAAGGGCCGTAACTCTTTTAAAAAGTGTGAAAATATGAAATTGAAATGCCAGTGCACAACTACATAATATACTGATCGTTCAAGTGAAGTTTCAATAAAATCTGCCTGTTAGTTTAAAATGGAGTTTTCCAGACAGGCTTTTTCGCATAAAGGGTTGTAACTCCCTTAAAAGGTGTTGAAATATGAAATTGAAATGCCGGTGCACAACTACATAAGATACTGATCAGTCAAGTGAAGTTTCAATAAAATCTGCCTGTTAGTTAGGATGGAGTTTTCCTGACAAATTATTTCACATAAAGGGCTGTAACTCCCTTAAAAGGTGTTGAAATATGAAATTGAAATGCCGGTGCACAACTACATAAGATACTGATCAGTCAAGTGAAGTTTCAATACAAACTGTTTGTTAATTAAGATGGAGTTTTGCGGAGGACAGACATCTGGACAGGAAGACAGGGTGATTCCAGTATACCCAGGTTATAATGAAGTTTCGATGGAAAATGTCAAAATTCCTTAATGTCTAATTTAACTTAGAAAACGTCTCATACCCTCAGAAAATTTCAACTCTCCTTTTCATGCAGCAGGCACCAATTTCACTTATTTTTTCTTCCAAAATATTCTATAGCAAACATTGCCAGTATATCCTCATTTGTCCCTTTTACATTCATTAATCTGCAACTGACTGGCACCATCAAGCATGAAGTGCTAATTTACCTGTGAAAAACTGTTGCACCATTATAAATGGCAGTTATTAAATCATGTGTTTCTTACCTCCGACATTTCATGACTGAGTAGAAGTGGGATGGTAAGGGTGGTGATGTCCGAACGAAAACACAACTTGATGATGTTACGGATGCTGAGGATGACCGGATGTCTGGATGAGATGTCAATAGATCGGATACTGTCATCAATGACGAGGTGGAACACTGAGTGTACCTCGGATAAATTGGAATGTTTGGTGATGTAAAAATCTCCCACCTGGATGCGATTCCCCTTGTCCTGCAGCAATGGTGAATGAAATAAAACATTAATATTTTATATAATTTCAACGACATCATGGTGAAAACAGAAAGACTAGCATCTAAAACAAAATCGCTCACCTGGATATCAAAGCAATCATGGCAAAATATTCTCCAAATACAATCTCGGGGATAGGGCCAGACCCCAAGGCCAATCCTTGTAGCATATCTGTATTAGATTATTTTCATGCCAAGCAATTGTATGTATGGTTACGGGGTGGGGATCTCAACTGTTTCCAAGTTGTGACTCAGAAACTAGGTCCCTAGGGTTGTGGCCAGACCCCAGTATCAATTCTAATATCATGACAGCATTCGTCACTTTATGCCTAGCAATTGTATATATAGTTTTGGGGCGGGGATCTCAACTGTTTCGAAGTTATGTCCCAGGGGTTAAGTCTCCAAGGAACCCTGTGAGCTAATAAAAAGTCCTAAAAAAATAGGGCAACAAATTTCTACATTCAGTGTTGAACATCTAAGTTAATAGGAGTTACAGAACAGAAGTCAATTTTGCAGTTGTAAACTGCTGTAATGAGTAGTTCATTGGTAGGCAGGGTTCAATTGAACATAAGATTAAGGACGCCGTCTTGCTTCGAACTAGAGGGAATTTCCCTTTAGCTCAGTGGTAGAGTGTTCGACTAGGAACCTGGAGATCGAGGGTTCGATCCCCGTTGGAAGCACACTATTCTCTTTCCTGTTTAAAATGGTGTCCGTGGCCCTCCCTGACAAGGAGTTAGAACCTAGGTTGTGGTGGTTGTGGTGTTTGAGGGCGAACACATTTAAAAAGGGGGGTTTAGTGTGGCAGGGTTCAATTGTAAATTGGATTAAGGTCGCTTTCTAGCTTCGAGCTAGAGGGAATTTCCCTTTAGCTCAGTGGTAGAGCGTCCAGCTAGGAACCTGGAGATCGAGAAGAAGATTTTTGAAATTTCAGTCAATTCAACCCTTTTTGGCCCCACCCATCAGCCCCTGGGGGTCAGTCAGGGCTGATATGTGCATACCATCGAACTGCTATCCAATACTGATAATGCTAACCCAAATTGAATTACTTCCAATGGAAATTAAACAAATGTTGGTCCAAAATGTGATTTCCCTATATAAACTATAGTAAAGTTTACCCCCTCCCCAGGGGGAAACGTGAGACCCCAGGGTCAGGAAATTCACAATTTTGGTAAAGCACCTTAAGACCCTTCTAGGAGAAGATTTTTGAAATTTCAGTCAATTTGACGCTTTTTGGCCCCGCCCCCCAGGCCCCTGGGGGCTGGGGACCATATAATTCACAATTTTGGTTGACCTTTGGCCATGGGAGGTTTCTGCAAAATTTCATTGAAATTGGTTCAGGGGATTTTGATAAGAAGTTGAAAATGTAAATTGTTTACGGACACACGACGCGATCGCTATAGGTCACTTGAGACTTTGTCTCAGGTGACCTAAAAAAATAATTGTTTGGAAACTTTCGTAGAAATTTTAGACATTTATTCATTAAAATATTTGAACTTTTTTTTCAATTTAGTTCATGAGCAACGTACAAGAGGTAGGCAATTAAATTTGTTTCAAATTGATTAAAAACTATGTGTATTTGTATTTAGGATAGGTACCATTTCTTTGTATTTAAGAATGAAATAATATGTTCTTCTTTCACGCGTCCACTAAATTACATGTGGATTGACCTTGGTCCTCTATATATTCCATCTCGTATGAAACAAACGACAATCATGATATATGCAGGTAGCTACTTGGTCGATACTTAATGAAGAAATACCACAAAGTAGCAATAGTCAGCATTTTAGTTTCGGTCAACCATCTGGACCCCTCAATCTACACATGCCTGATATTCCTGAGTTCAGCCTCGGTTCAGATCTGAGCCTGTTGTTTTCTTTCAGGTTAAACTGGATACGCGAAAGGGGCCTTTTTCTACAAGATTACTATTAAAACTAGTTGACTATTTACCAGCTGGTTATCTCCACTTGAGCTGCTGCTACTACTTTTGATGCTGATTTTATCACCATCCTCTGTCGTCGTCTTCTGAGCTCGCAGTGCATTGGATTTCGCCATCTCTTTATCAACATTACTGAACTGTTGGTCCAAACTCGGGAAATGGAAGTCGGTCGACTGCTCACAGACTTTGGCAAAATCTGAATAGAAAAAGCAGAAGCTTAAAGTAAAGGCTACCACAGCAAGACTTATTAATGCAAAGAAGGGTTCATTTCATAGCAGGTTTTTTCGACTTAGTGTAATCTCATATTTTTTATGTCGCTCGACCCGGGATGTTTCACCTATCCATAGAGATTGTATACACACTTCATCGTATAGATTACAGGTAGGGTGTAGATCTAGCCCCCTCACTCATTATGTCAGTATCGGGTCATATAGATGACTGAGCTGGTGTCCCCCCTTGTCTCTGTTCATGCTTTGAGGTTTCCTGATTTTTCTCGGGTCGAGTGACATAAAAAATATCCAATTTCATCACATCTTTGTACAGGTAAACAAGAGGTCCATTGGACCTGTATCGCTCACCTGGTTTTATATTTAAGTTATTACAACTGAATGCATTAGTACATCTTTATATGAAATTTCCTAAAAACCAGACAAGCTCTATGTTCTAACCCAACTGGGATCACAATATCTGACTTTCAACTAATCAGGGGCCTCAATTCCATTGAGTTGCCATGTTAACAGTTTTTTAAATAAGTAATATGTCATATTACAGGGTGTAATTAGACAATACTTTAATTTTCATTCAACTATAAGCTTTTATAAACCTAGAAACCAATTTTGAACAACTTATGAAAACTACACCATAAAATATGATTATCTAGCTGTACCATTTCTTAGGACCACAGATGTCAAATCAACGTCATTCAATTAAGAAATATTTGTTCTTCCTCAATAATGTTTTTGACCAAATTTTGTACAATCCACTCAGGCAATTAGGGGGTATTAGCGTCTTAAAGCAAAATATTAGATAAATTTCCTTTTTGGGGCCCGGTCTTCCTAGCCCCGATGTCGAACCAGTCTCATTTATTTAGGAAATGATTGCCCTCCCCCAATGAAGTTTCAGAGCAAATTTGGTTGAAATCTTCTCTGGCGTTTCGGAGGAGATGCTTTTTAAAGCAAATTTAGCTAAGTTCCCCTTCAGGGTTCCGCCACCATGGCCTAAGGGGTCGAACCAACCTCTTTTATTTAAGAAGTGATTGCCCTTCCCTAGTGATGCTTCAGACTAAATTTGGTTGAAATCCTCTCTGGTGTTTAAGAGGAGATGCATTTTCCGGCTTCAGGGGTCGAACCAACCTCATTTATTTAAGAAATGATTGCCCTCCCCTAGTGATGCTTCACACTGAATTTGTTTGAAATTCTCTCTGGCGTTTAGGAGGAGATGCATTTTAAAGCAAATTTATTTAAGTTCCCCTTCAGGGCCCAGGGCTTGAACCAACCTCATTTATTTAAGAAATGATTGCCCTCCCCTAGTGATGCCTCAGACTAAATTTGGTCGAAATCCTCTCTGGTGTTTAGGAGGAGATGCGTTTTAAAGCAAATTAAGCTAAGTTCCCCTTCAGGGCCCCGCATCCCTGGCCTCAGGGGTCGAACCAACCTCACTTATTTAAGAAATTATTGCCCTCCCCTACTGATGCTTCAGACTAAATTTGGTTGAAATCCTCTCTGGCATTAAATAGGAGATGCGTTCTAAAGCAAATTTAGCTAAGTTCCCCTTCAGGGCCCGTCCCCTGGCCTCTGGGGTCGAACCAACCTCACTTATTTAAGAAATGATTGCCCTCCCCTACTGATGCTTCAGACTAAATTTGGTTGAAATCCTCTCTGGCATTTAACAGGAGATGCATTTTAAAGCAAATTTAGCTGAGTTCCTCTTCAGGGCCCCGCCCCCCTGGCCTCAGGGGTCGAACCAACCTCACTTATTTAAGAAATGATTACCCTCCCCTATTGATGCTTCAGACTAAATTTGTTTGAAATCCTCTCTGGCATTAAATAGGAGATGCGTTCTAAAGCAAATTTAGCTAAGTTCCCCTTCAGGGCCCCGCCCCCCTGGCCTCAGGGGCCGAACCAACCTCACTTATTTAATAAATGATTACCCTCCCCTATTGATGATTCAGACTAAATTTGTTTGAAATCCTCTCTGGTGTTTAGCAGGAGATGCATTTTAAAGCAAAATTAGCTGAGTTCCTCTTCAGGGCCCCGCCCCCCTGGCCTCAGGGGGTGAACCAACCTTACTTATTTAAGAAATTATTGCCCTCCACTAGTGATGCTTCAGACTAAATTTGGTTGAAATCCTCTTTGGCGTTAAAAAAAGTGGACGACGGACGCTGCGCCACGGCATAAGCTCACTATGGTCCTTCGGACCAGGTGAGCTAAAAAAATACAAATTGCTCACTCAGTCATAGCTGGACAAATGGACCAGTCGGTCTCGAAACATTGCGACACGTTAAATACGTACATTGCTTGTGTAGAAAGAAAAGCATATCTAACATATTTCCAAACTGATGAATCTTGTTGAATATATTAATGCAATCTCTATTATACTTAATAGATGAACTTGTCAAGGTACATTTGTATTCATTTCTCATTTCGACAAAGTGAATTACTAATTCCTGAATAGCAACAGTGGAAATGTGTAAGATTGCCGGTTGATATGTCCGAATTGTTGTTTATTTTTTGCTTTCAAAAAGGCAAATTACAAGCAAATATGATTCTGTAATATGCATTTCAACTTGGGATTTTATTAAACAGGAGGCCCATGGGCCTTAATGGTCAACTGATATATTTATACAGAGAGTTGATTTTGTTTTTAACACGAACAGAAATATTATTCAGTGACAAAAAACAATAAAACCACCTTATTCAATATCTAGCATACAGATTTAAGACTAAAAAGTATTTGAAACTAGCACCTCTGATTCTAAACAAGGAAAATGAAGAAATTTTAGCACACTGACTCCTTTGGGCCCCACCCTACAGCCCTTGGGG